ATACACCATATAAATAGAAATAAAAACAAGAACCACGTGATTATTTCAATAGATGCAGAAAAAGCATTTGACAAAATCCAACATCCCTTCTGATAAAAATCCTCAACAATCTAGGCATTGAAGGAACATTCTTCAAAATAGTAAAAGCAAACTATGACAAACCCATAACCAACATCATACTTAATGGGCAAAAGTTGGGAGCATTCCCCCTAAGAACCAGAACAAGACAATCCTAGCCAGAACAATCAGGCAAGAAAAAGAAAAAAAGGTATTCAAATGGAAAAAGAGGAAGTTAAATTATCTCTCTTCACAGATGATATGATTCTATATCTAAAAAACCCTAGAGATTCCACCCAAAGACTCCCAGCACTCAAAAATGACTTTAGTAAAGTCTTGGGATACAAAATCAATGCTCAAAAATCAGTTGCATGTCTGTAACCAACAATGTTGTTCAGGCTGAGAAGCAAATCAAGAACACAGAACCATTTACAACAGCCATAAAAACAAAAACAGAATACCTTGGAATATATCTAACCAAAGAGATAAAAGATCTCTACAATGAGAACTATAAAACACTGCTTAAAGAAATCAAAGATGACACAAATAAATGAAAAAATATTCCATGCTTATGGATTGGAAGAATCAATAAAACGTCCATACTGCCTAAAGCAAACTACAGATTCAATGTAACCCCTATCAAATTACCAGCATCATTTTTCACAGATCTAGAAAAAACAATCTTAAATCTATTTGGAAGCAGAAAAGATCCCAAATAGCCAAAGCAATCCTAAGCAAACAGAATAAAGCCAGAGGCATCACATTGTCAGGCTTCAAATTTTACCACAAAGCTAGAGTAACCAAAAAAGCATACTACTGGTACAAAACAGACACATAGACCAATGGAATGGAATTGGAAATCCAGAAATAAAACTGCTGTCTTACAACCATCTCATCTTTGACAAAAACAATCACTGGGGAAAGGACACTCTCTTTAACAAATGATGCTGAGAAATGAAGCTGGATTCCTTTCTCTCACCATATACAAAAATTAGCTCAAGGTGAACTAATAACTTGAATGTAAAATCTCAGACTATAAAAGTCCTCGAAGAAAGCCTAGGAGATACTCTTCTGAAGATCGGCCTAAGCAATGAATTCATGACCAAAACATCAAAAGCAAACACAGCAAAATTCAAAATTAACAAGTAGGACCTAGTCAATGTAAGAGCTTCTCTGCACAGCAAAAGAAATCACTTATAGAGTAAACAGACAACCCACAGAATGGGAGAAAATATTTACAAACTATGCATCCAACAAAGGACTAATATCCAAAACAAGACAAATACTGCATGATCTTGCTCATATGTGAAATCTAAAAAAGAAAGTTGATATTAGAGAAACAGAGTATAACAATGATTACCAGAGATTGGGAGACTGGGGGGGGGGGGCAATGGGAAGATGAGGAGGGGTTGGCCAAGGAGTACAAAATTTCAGTTATAGGGGAAGAACAAGTTCTGGTGTTCTATTGCACAGTAGAATGACGATGGTTAACAGGTACTATATATTACAAAATAGCTAGAAGAGATGCTTTTGAATGTTCTGTCACAAAGAAATGATAAACGCATGAGGTAGCAGATATGCTAACTACTCAATTTGATTGTTATATAACATATATGTAGCAAAATGTCAGCTCATTCCCTATAAATATGTAAAACTACAATTTACAAAATTAAAAATAATTTGAACGGTCAAAAAATCTTCATCGTAAATGTTTTGTTAAAATGTCAACTGCATCTGCTGAAATGCATTCATTCTTTTCCTTTTAAAAATACTTCATGGCTAATTCTTAGACAACATTAGGTTTCCGAGTAAGATGGGAAAGTGCAGAACTTAGACTCAAAATGGTGTACAAAATCAGAAAGATGTTCTGTTAAAACTATAGGAATTTCACCTGAAGCTTGTAGGAAGTTGATAATTTATAATACAAAGCATTTTATCTATTCAAATGCTCATACCCCTTGCACTAGCTCCAGGAACTGATTTGTATAAGCTTTAGACCCACCTCACAATCTGTAGTAAGAAACTTTCTCCAAAATTTGCCTATTTGCTCACTAGATTCACGGTCTTCTGATGGTTAAGGGAAACTCCCCACCTAATTCGATCAAAAAGCTGAAATGTCAGCAAGAGAAGCAGACACAGGTCTAGGGCTCAGCAAACTATGTTTGTAAAGCGCAAGACAGTACATATTAGCTTAGCTTTGCAGGCCACATTATTCTATTTTTTGTTTTGTTTTTACAACCCTTTGAAAAATGAAAAAAACCATTCTTGGTTCACAGAGAATACAAAAACAGGTTGTGGGCCATAGTTCACCAACCGTTGGTTTAAAGCAGTGCTGCCCAATATGGATGGTAACACATGGCTACCAAGTATGTGCTAGTGTGACTGAGGACCTAAAATTTAATTTTATTTAATTAATTTAACTTTAAACAAACACATGCAGCTAGAGGCTATTGTTTTGAACAGTGCAGTTCTAGAGGACCGCCAGTATCCCAGAAGAGTTCCAGAAATCTCTGTATACCTGTCTCCCATGAATCTACTGAATGCTTCAAGAAGTAAATCAGGCATAAACAGTTATTGTTATTAATAACAGTCTCCAATTAAGGACTAGTATCAAGTGACTAACATCAAGGTCAGGAAAAACACTATACAGAAAGTCTGAAACAAAACTAGCTTGCATAATTTACTAGCATGACATCTCTTCAATAACATTTGGGCAAACTAGTACTTTTTTTTTGTTGGTTTTTTGTTTGTTTGTTTGTTTGTTTGTTTTGAGTTGGAGTCTCACTCTGTCGCCCAGACTGGAGTGCAGTGGCCGCTCCCGGCCACCGCAGCCTCGACCTGCTGGGCTCCGGCGATCCTTCCGCCTCAGCCTTCCAAGAAGCTGGAATTACAGGCCTGCGCTACCACGCCTGGCTGATTTTTTTGATTTATTGTAGAGATGAGGTCTCGCCAAGTTCCCCAGGCGGGTCTCGAACCCGCGGGCTCAGGCAATTCACTCACCTCAGCCTCCCAAAGGCGCGGGATGACAGGCTGAGCCACCGAGCCTGGCTTAAACTAGTACTTTTAAGTGTTAAGAGATTGGGTTAAAGGGCTCTGAGTTTAAAAAGACAGGCAATGTTTCCATCTTTAACAGAAGTGAAATTTCTACCATCCAATTTGCATACAGATTCTCCCTTCGAAGACAGATTCAGCTAAAATTAAGTTTCTGTTTGCCTTAGACGACAACTGATTTCTCCTATCACTGACCTGAAATGCTCCTGGAAAATTGCCCTGCTTCACTCATCACATTGCCACTCCCAGTAAGGCCCTTAAAGTTCATGAGGCACAAACTTGCTTTGTTAAGCCAAGTTATTACAGAAGAAACATAAGTCCTCATTTCCACGTGCTGACAAATCATTTCCCAAGTCCATGAATGCATTCAAATCATGATTCCTGGAACTTCTGAAGTAGAAAATTAGGGGAGAAAACACTCATTCAACTTTAGAGGAAGTTGCCAGTCAAGGGCTTGGACAACACTCATCAAAGGCTATTTGTTTTCCCCACCTATCTAGGACAGAATACTTCTCATTCAACTAAGCAAAGAATTAAAAACACACAGTGGGGTGTGTATCACTACACAGTGGGGTGTACATCACTGTCCAGATGATGATGTGTGATAACACTCCTAATATCTCCCCAAAAGTTTTACCTTCAGCATTTCCTATCTTAATTTAGGACTAAAATGTAACATTCCTGAAGAAAATCACTTCATATAAAAGCAGAGGTTGAATCATGGAACACAAAATCAGTGAAAGCAACCAGTTGGTACGATAAGTCTTCCTTTATAAGGCCCAATTCAAACTATCTACTAAGAGTCCTGAATTGGTACATACAATGAAATTCTATAATACAACTGGGAAACAATGAAGTCGATCTATAAGTACTACTGTGGGAAAATATCCAAGATATGCTGTGAGGTGAAAAAACAAGTCACAAAACAGTATATATACTATGATCTCATCTATGTGTGGTAGCATATATAAACTTGACTATATACAGAAAATTTCTAGAAAGATTCATGAAGAAACTGAGTGGGGGTTGCCTTTGGTAAATTCAGCAGATAAGGTTTTTACTTATCACTTTATATCTTTCCATGTATTTAAAAATATTTTAAAAATTAAGAGCATGTAGGCACACCACAGTGGCTCACGCCTGTAACCCTAGCACTTTGGGAGACCAAGATGAGAGAACTGCTTGAACCCAGGAGTTCGAGACCAGCCTACGTAACATAGTAAGACCTCATCACTACAAAAAAAAAAAAAAATCTAAAAATTAGCTGAGAGTGGTGGTACACACCTATAGTCCCAGCTACTTGGGAAGGCTGAGGCAGAAAGATCGCCTGAGCTCAGGAAGTTGAGACTGTGCTGAGCTTGATCATGCAACTGCACTCCAGCCTGGGTGACAGAGTGAGACACTAACTAAAAAAATAAAAAATAAAAAAAAAAACGAAAGAGGTTGTATTACTTTACAAGTTTAAAATATTCCTTTAAAAGCCCAGAAAGATCTCTGCAGTGGTTTCCTCTAAAAAACTAAGCTGTGACCCTTCTTTACTATTGCAGGGTTGATAATTTAAATGAAAAAGTCAAAACTGTTCCCTTTTAATTAACGTCACTGTAATACTACTAAGATAGTTTTTGTTAATGAATTTTCATAGCAGGTAGAAGAGAAAAAACTCATACAACAGTATTATGAAACTGAAAAAAAAATTAGACATGCTTCAAATAGGGCCTTGATGGGACGAGGCAATCCACAAGTGCCAACCAGCTCCTGGGTTATGAAGACCTCAGGAGAGCCATCACATTTCAATTACCATCACTAACATTACTTATTATTTGGCTTGCTCCAGTCCCTAAGGAAGGCAGCCTGTGATGATAATACCCAGCCTCTTCTTGTAAAACAATTCATTAGGCAAAGCAGAACAGCTGGGGCAGCCACGTGCATGTTCTTAAAGCACCGCCCCACTGGGACCACTGGCTCAGATTTCCCTTTTCGTGAGGGACGGTCACCACCCCTCTGACAGCTGTAGAGTCCTCCAGGGACACTTCAGGTTTAATCAGTACTTCCTGCACTGGAGAAGGCCATTTGATTTCTAACGTAAACTAATGGCACTCCTGCTTTCAGCAGGTTACAGCAGACATTAGATAAGAGGCTTTAGGGCATTTTTATCTTGTTCTAATGCTCAAGAGTTAATGAGGCAGCAAAAGATATTGTCATAGAGCCCCGGTGTAGCTATATTATCCAATAAACGGACTCTTTCCAAGACAGGTTTAATGTGGATCGAGGAGGTAAAGAAGACTGGCTTAATTTTGATCCTATTGAGAGGATGAAAATCCAGTCATCCTAAGTAGGGCAAAATCATGCACATCCTGCAGTAGAAAAGAGCTACAAGGAAGGCAAGGAATCTTTAAATACCAAGGGTAAAATGCTGATTTTTACCACCTTAAGCAGCATCAACCAAATAGATTTATTTGGCATTTTAGGCTGGTTCCCCCCGCCCCAGCTTTTAAATGAATCTGTTTTCATGTTTTTGTCGAAAAGTGTTCCTAGGAGTTAGAGTTTTTTAGAAAATTAGCAATAAGGCTATTGTAGCTTTATATTATATAATCATGTTACAGTATTTTATAGTATTATATAACATAGTACAAAAAGGACTATGTTTTTTTTTTTTTTACTAGCTATAAAATACATTGTATTATGTTAAATGGTAAAGACTTCCTTTAACTTCGAAATATCACAAGAGCCAATCTCACACAAGGCTTCAGAAATCAGTGATTCAACAACAGTGATGATCTGTTATAATCATGGTCATATGAGACCCAGCAAAAATAAAAATAAACCCTTGGATTCACTAGTCCATGTTAGCTGCATAAAAGAAAATATTAAACAATCTTTTTTCTTTTATCTCAGAATCTGTTTTGCCAAATACTATATAGAAATCAGAAAACTCGGTGTTTCTCTTCTCCAGACTAGAACTATCAACGGGAGCTGCTACTCAGCAATTTTAAAAGGTGATCATTTCCTGAGTGGCTTGCTCTCTAAAGATTAAAAAGAACTGAAATGTTCTAATATTTACTTCCTTGAAGAAATAGCTCCCTCACCCCCCAGAAAAGGTATGCAAGATGCCTTAAAATGACATGTTGGGCATGCATTAGCTCATTTATGAAGCACCAAACATTTCATTTGGTAAAGAAAACAAGATAATCAACAAATGAACTCCAAGTCACAGACATTAAGTTCATATATGCACCTCTGAAATTACTAAATCTGAGCTTTCTTAACATAACCATCACTTCATACATCCTACTGACCCACTGCTCTTGCATAGGTCTCTTGTCCCCCACTACAGCAGAAAACATTGGCTACCTATCTGAAGACCTATTCTCCCCTTCCTCCTTATTAATAGAATCCCAACTTTTAGCCATCATCAAAATTATAACCCAGAATAAAAGATTACAATGTTTTGCAGCTAAGTCAGGCTAAGAGATTAAGTTATGTGGAACTTCCAGGAAGGATGCTTCAAGAGAAAAGAGCCAACTGTGTGGGACTCCTTTTCTGCTCCTTTCTCTTCCCACTGTCTTTTGGCCTACAATTCAGGAGTGACGGCTAGAGCTCCAGCACTCATGAGGCATCCTTTAGGGTAGAAGCCACGCACTAAGAAAGCGGAGTGGAAAGATCAAGTCTTAGTCCTTGATGACACTGTGGAACTGTGCTACCCCCTAGGCCTACCTCTAGTCAGCCTTCCTTCTGTGGGAAAAAATTTTTTTAAATCCTACCTTGTGTAAGTCACAATTATTAATATTTTAGATTTCCTGTTATAGTTACGCTTTATCCTGATAGACCTGATATCCACAACCTTTTAGTCTATAACTCTGATAGTAGTTTATTTGTTTCAAAGATGCTTTAACAACACTTTGGCACACAAAATTGAAATTTTATAATCCATATCCCAGTTCTACCCTAAATTGTATTCTCCTAGCCATAGGGGTTTAACATCTTGAAATCGTTTTGACTCTCGTTTCTCTAGTCCGTTACAGTTTTTCTATTTTCCCCCCCAAAATGTCTTTCAACTGTTCCCTCCTTGACATTCATGCTAGTCATCCAGTACAAGCAGTTACTGTATTCTTGGACTGTAACAGCCTCCCAGCCAGTCTCAGATCCAACCCACACACTTCCATTCTCTCCAAGGGCTGCTATCAGATGTTAGAAGATCATTCCTCAATCTGATCCTTCAGGCTCTCCATAATCTAGCTCCTCCTTACTTCTCTGACCACAATTGTTTGTACTCTAACCAATCCAGTCTCAAAAATTGATTCCCAGAGTGAAGTATTCCTTCTTCCCATATGCAAATATTAATCACTGAATCCTAAAGTTTAATCTCTTCCAAGGAGTGTCCTGAATTTTTTTCCTCTCTTTTTCCTCTTTTTTCTGCATGTACAGAACACATGTTCGGAAAGGCCAGATCAGGCAGAGCTATAAAGTCAAGTTAAAGGGTTTTTACTTTATCCTGAGAACAATGAGAAGTCACCAATGGATTTTAAAGAGAAGGGAATGAGATCACATGTCAGTTTGTGTTTCAAAAATATTACTCTGACTATGGAATAGAGTAGTTATTGGAGAAAAGATCAATTCTACGGGTAATTCTATTGCAGGAAGAGAATACCAGAAAGAAGCCTGTCAAAGCAGGCTTATAGAGGAAGAACCTGAAACACAATATTCTAGAGGAAAATGATAGTCATTTGAGTAAATATATGTTCACAGTAGAAAAAGCTGGTAAATATTTAAAAGAGTTGCTGTGCAGAATTTTGTGCTAAATGTTCTCCTATCAAGAATACAATGAATGGCATTTACAATGCCTGAACCTTGATTGAATCTTGGTTATTATTATTTTTTTAAAGGTGCACAAGATTTTTTTCTTTTTTTTTTTGAGACAGTGTCTCACTTTGTTGCTCAAGCTGGAGTACAGTGGTGCGATCCCAGCTTACTGTAGTCTTGACCCCCTGGGCTCGAGTGATCCTCACGCCTCTGCCCTCCAAGTAGCTGTGACTATAAGCATGCGCCAACATGCCTCGCTAATTTTTTTTTACTTTTTGTAGAGACAAGATCTCACTATGTGGCTCGGGCTGGTACTGAACTCCTGAGCTCAAGTGATTCTCCAACCTCAGTCTTCCAAAGTGCCAGGATTACAGGTGTGAGCCACCACGCCTGGCCAAGATTTTTAGGGACAATTGAGGAATATGGAAGAATGCTGAATATTTTAAAATTATTAATTTTTCTTGGATACAATAACAGTATTCTTACTATGTAGGAAACCATTCTTATTCTTAGGAGACATGTTCTAAAATATTTAGTGGTAAAGTGCCATGATATCTAAAATTTACTTCCAGATGGCTGCAGAGGAAGGGAATGGGTGTGTATGTGTGTGTGTAGGTGGAGTAAATTCAGTGGATGTTTAAAATTTTTTCATCGTGAACTATTACAGGAAAAGAAGATTTCATGGCACTTCTTAAGTTAGTAAAGAGGGGCTTCTTTCCTGACCTATTTGGGGTATTGATATTCATTTACTTAATAATCTGAAATACATCTTTAAAATCTGTAGCTCCAAGGAAGTCTGAGATTTTAACAAGTAAAACACCATATGAAGATTTTCACCCAAGAATGATCCTTTCTGTGAGCAGTTAGCAGATCAATACTCCAGTCCTCCCTTTAGTTTCAAGCCCAGCTACTCTTGGATTCCATTCTCAGCCTGATTAAGGAGGGCAGCTGCCTGTCCTCTTTCAATTGGAGACACGTGACAGAATCATTCTCTAGCACCTATATTTGGTAAACCTTTAATGCCACGTCAAAAGATAGCAGGTGCGCAAATTATTATTCAAATAATCTTGTATTGTGTTGCTTTTTTTGTTTTGAGTTGGAGTCTCACTCCCTTGCCCAGGTTGGAGTGCAGTGGCATGCTCATGGTCAGCCCACTGTTGACCTGCTGGGCTCCAGCGATCCTTCTGCCTCAGCCTTCCAAATAGCCAGAACTATAGGCACATGCTACTATGCCTGGCTAATTTTTTAAAAAATTTATTGTAAAGACGATGTCTCGCTAAGTTGCCCAGGCTGGTCTCGAACCGACCCACAGGCTCAGGCGATCCACTCGCCTTGCCTCCCAAAGTGCTGGGATTATAGGCTGAGCCACTGAGCCCAGCCATGTTGCTTTTTTAAAATGACATTTTCCTTCAATACTGTGAGAGTGTTGGCTAATTAAACCCTTGTTTTTACTGAACTTCACAGCTGACACAGCAGAAACAGAAGCAAACCATAAACTATCTTCCTTCCATCCAGAAGAAAAAATACTTCCCTGTGAAGTTAGAATACTATACTTTCCCCACTTATCGAACTACGTTCTGGGAGGAGATGTTCTTAGTAATAACAAGCTTTTCAACCCAAGCAATCAGAAACCTTATCTCCATAATCAGGTCCAGCTAGACATCTTACTCTTCTTTAGAGTTCCTGAGTAGGCATATAGGTGAAACTCCCTAACTTAGTCCAAACTTCCTATGTTTACAATCAAATTGTATAAAATTAATCAGAGTGAAGACAAGAGGATTGCCAGAGCTCAGTCAGGAGTTCAAGACCAGCCTGAGCAACATGGCGAGGCCTTGTCTCTACAATAAATAAAAGAAGGAAGGCTAACCCAGAAGGATCACCTAAGCCCAGCAAGTTGAGGCTGCAGTGGCCATGAATGTGCCACTGCACTCCAGCCTGGGTGACAAGAGTGAGACTTTGACTCAAAAAAAAATTAATTAAAGAAAAGAGAAAATAAAGATCTGCATCAAAATGACTGTCAAGCACTCTCTAAAGAAAACACATTCTTAAGTTCATGACATAAAACAAGGAGTGATACCACCAAGTTAAGAGGATGCCTCTAGGTTTTGTTTGGTTATTTCAGATGACTGGGCATGTTTCTTACATTGGATGCAGCAAGCCATATACTAGAAGATACCTAAATAGTTTTTGTACTGTTGAATGTACTAAAAAAACCACTGAATGGTAAGTAAAAAGATAAATTTGTGGTATATGAAA